ATGAAGCTCTCACCAGCTGCCTGCAGACTGCAGAGTAGCACATGGCAGAGCTGGAGATGGTGGCTTCTGTGGTCATTGATCACAGAATGAGAACAAAATGTTCTTCGAACAGCTGAATGATGTGATCCTTCAGCTGGAGGAAAAGATCAGAAGCTTCAATGACTTGGAGCAAGTGAACACTGAGTTGCAGGAGAAGCTGGAAGCACTCTGGACACAGTGGAACAACATGAAGAGCAGAATCTGCAAGTTCCAACAAGCACTGGCGGGGCGTGAGGTACTAAAGGGACTACTGGATAACCTGAGCTGGATGGTGACTGAAGGGACTACTGAATAACCTGAGCTGGATGGTGACTGCAGCGAATCTAGAGAGAGACACCTTCACAGAAGACCTGAGCATTGAGAGGTCCATGCAGAAGGAGGAGGCCCGGTGGCTGACCCAGTGGGTGAACCAACTGACAGAGGAGAAGAATAGGGGGCAAGGCAGGTGTTTGACCTAGAGAAGGAGCTGGGGAAACTGACAAGGAAGCTGGCAGAGACATGGCCCCCTTCGGGACCATCTCCGGCCAAGTGGCAGGTGCAAGCCCAAGCCTAGTGCATGCAGATGGAGTTGAAAAACCTGGAGGAACAACCTCACATCCAGGTCCAGGAAAACCAAAGTCTCCGTTTCCAGAATACGGAGCAGCAGAAGCAACTGTGGAGACTGGAGGAGAAAACCAAGGATCAGCAGGAGATCTGCAAGGTCCCACGATGCACATGTGTGCCACAGACAGATGGAAGAACAGCTGGCCCTGCTGCGGGATGCTCTCCACATGGTGACCAGTGAGAAGGAGAAGCTAGCCAGCATTTTGGACTCAGAGCAGCAGGTGAAGAAACATCTGTGGGAACAGCTGGACCACACAGAGGAGAAGATAGAGGAATGGAAAGAGGTGGCTGAGAGAGAAAGCCAAGCAGCTTGGGAGCCGCAAGAGCAGCAGGAGCAGTCCCTGGCCCAGCTGCAGGAGCTCAGAACCACATGTGAGCTGCACATCACCACCAATGAGCAGTTGAGCTCCAAGAAGGAGGCCCTGCAGCAGCACCTAGAGAGGCAGACCCAGCTGCTGGAACAGCTGAAGCAAGTTCAGGCCCCACCAACTGTCGGGACCAGGTGGTGCCCCCCAAATGGCAGGACACCCTCAAGTGCCTGGAAGCGACCAGACCACAGGAGGAGTGGCTGTAGGTCCAGCTGAGCTTCCTGGCTTTCCCTGAGGAAGGGGAAGTTGAGAGCCCTGGAGAAGCAAAGGTGAGGAGGCAACTCCCCCAGATGTGACCATCGCAGAGGATGGAGACATCCCCCAAACCGAGAGGGACATGGATCTAGGGGCGCTCTCCATGGCTGAAATCCATAGGGGGAAACTCCTGCACCAAGAGTGGCAGGCTCACTGCTGATGCCCAGTCCACCTGGCAACTCAGTGTCAGAGAAAGCTGGAGCCACTGGCCCTCCAACCTGCAAGTTAGTACCACAGCATACATGGGGATGGGAATCAGGACACGTGGACATCTGAGGAGAAAATCTGCTTTGTCCATGACCTGCCTGTTGAGGTGGACTTCCTTTTGTCCAGTGGATGAGCTCCACCATCGATGCAGACAGCTGTTGGCATACATTTGCACCATCGACGACTTCCTTGTGGCATGTACAGAGCAGATGTTCATCCTGGATGAGCTGTGTTAGGAGAAAGCTGAGCACATATGCTGGATGTCCCAGAAGAAGATGAAGAGGAGAGAACTGTGGGAGCCGCTGTGGTTCCTCTCAGAGGAAGGCATGGACAGCAGGCACCAGATGCTGTCACAGGCTGAGTCCTCTGCCACCACCACCGCTTCAGACACCTCAGGCTGTGGGGTGGTCAAAATGAGGGAGGAGCAGAAAGGTTTTGAAGAATTGCCACTTCAAAGCAGTGTGGAAACTGCCAAAGGACAGGTCGGGGTACCTACCCCATAGAGGACTCCCCCATGAAGCACATCCTGCCACAGAAGCCACACATGCAGATCACCCACAGGCTCAGACGAGGAGTGTTCCCTCCCTTTCTTCTATAGAGTGATGCAGATGATGACTCTATGTGACATACTGACTCTCAAAAGCCTCAGAAGCCACCACAAGTAGGTGGCCAGGTGGCCTTCTCTCAGGCCTCCATCTGCCAGGTGATGGGAAGGGTAAACTCTGGGTGGGTAGGGCAGAGGCTGCCGGGAGGTGGCCCAAATTCAAGGGACATCTAATGGACCATTGGTGGCCAGGGAAGAGGCCCATGTTATGCTTCTCCCAAAAAATGAATTGTTTTCAAAGGGAAAACAAGCCTCCAACAAAGATTTGTTCTTCCAGGCCAGGGGCTTGAACTCAGGGCCTGGCCACTATCCCTGAGCTCTTTTTCTCATGGCTAGCACTCCACAACTTGAACCACAGTGCCACTTCTTGTTTTCTGATGGTTCATCGAGGGTAAGAGTCTCACATACTTTCCTGCCCAAGATGGCTTTGAACTGTGGTCCTCTAGATCTCAACTTCCAGAGTAGCTAGAATGACAGGCATGTGCCACCAGTGCCTAGCATGTGATGCCTTTTGAAGGCATCTTGGAGATTCTGTAAAAGGAGCCCCAAAGGGCCTGGTTAGACCTTGACCCAGTCAAAGAGCTGGAATGGGGGAAGGCTGACCTTCTAGCCATTCTGTTCCCCAAAATTAAAGATGCCAGCTGGTGTTGGATTCATCAAACACCTAGGTCAACAGCCACCAGGCTTAGTGGGGAAAATGTAGAGAATACCCAAAGATTGCAGTGTAAAAATCTCTGATTTTGCATTCATGTGGTGTGTGGGGGGGGTGTGCATGTGTGTGTGTGTGTGTGTGTGTGTGTGTGTGTGTGAACTCAGGGCTTAGGCTCTATCCCTGAGTTTTCTTGCTCAAGGCTAGTGCTCTTCGACTTGAGCCAGAGCCCCACTTGCTTTTTGATGGTTAATTGTAGGTAAGTCTCTCAAGTACATTCCTGTCCAGTGTGGCTTCGAAGCATGGTGGGGGCCCCAGGGAAGCAAGAGTAAACACAACTCACAGGTACAATCCCTATGGTGGGTGACTCCTGCCCCCTTGTAGCCAGATGCGGGACATGCGGCCCCATACCATAGTGGGGGAATATCATCATCTAGAGTTCAATTGGGGGACGTGACCAGGGCCAAGCTGACTTTTGCCCACCTTGAATGCTGATTCCAGAGCAGATCTGTTCCACCCTAGGCCAAGAGAGCTCCAGGAGGCCCTGCTTCCAGGAGAACAAGGAAGGGGGAGGTCAGCTCCAGACCAAGCTAAGAGCCTTTGGCCATGGATACCACAACTTGGCCTTCCTGATCACTGTAAGGCCTGTCAAAGAACAACCGCCCCCCAAAAAAAATTGGAGCCGTGTCTCAAAGTGGTAGAGCTCTAACATTGAACCAAAGAGCTCAGAGACAGGACCCCCACGCTGTGCATTCAAGACCCCCAGCTGACCCTCACCCATAAAACATAGTTAGCTAAAGGTGAACTAGTAGGATTTGTGAAGTGTTTCTGAAGAATGGTGATACAGAAGAAAGCACCCTAATTCTAATGACAGCTGAACTTGTGACATACAGCTATGTGCTGAATCCTTCACAGGGTGCTGTTTTCTTGGTCCTTCCGACATGGGGGTTTTGTGCTGAGTCCTCAAAAAGCATTTTGTGTGCTGAGTCATCACAAAGGGTGCTATATTGTGAGTCCTTGAGAAGAGTGGGCCATGCAGGGTTTTTCAAAGGGTGCTGTGTGCTGAGTCCATTACACAATGTACTTTATGCTGAGTCCTTCAAAAGTGCAGTGTGCTAATTCATCCCAAAGTGTGCTATGTGCTGAGCCCTTGAGAAGGGAGGGACAGGTGAATTTTTCAATGGATGCTGTGGACCAAGTACTTTACACAACGTACTTTTGCTGAGTCCTTCAAAGGGGGCTATATGCTGAGTCATCCCAATGGGTTCAATGTGCTGCATCCTTGAGAAGAGTGGGATGAGGTGAGTTTTTTGAGTGCTGTGTACCGAGTCCTTTATACAGGGTGCTCTGTACTGTCCTTCAAATGGTGCTGTGTGCTGAGTCCTTCCATAGGGTGGTATGTGCTGAGTCCTTCAAAACTCTGCTATATGCTGAGTTTTTTAAAGGGTGCTGTGCACTGAATGTTTTACACAGGGTGCTACATACTCATTCCTTCAAAGAGTGGTGTGTGTGGAGCCTTAATACAGGGTGCTCTGTGCTGAGTCCTGGGAAAGAGTGCTACGTGCTGAGTTTTTCAAAGCATGCCATGAACTGAGTCCTATACACTGGGTGCTATGGACTTCCTCTTCAAAGGGATCTGTATGCTGAGTCATCCCAAAGGTTACTATAAGCTAAGTCCTTCAAAGGGCTGACTGTGCTGAGTCCTTTACACAGGGTGCTTTGTGCAGTTTTTTGAAGTGTTCTCTGTGCTGAGTCATCCCAAAGGGTGCTATGTTCTGAGGTAGTTATCCCCAAAAATCTCTCTCTCTCTCTCTCTCTCTCTCTCTCTCACACACACACACACACACACACAGCTACATACACACACACAGGGGTCATCGTGTATCTGCTTGATGTATGGATTGGAGTTGAATGGAGGAGAGTCTCCTCTAGTGGTGGGGCTGAGGGGAGATTTGATTCCCTGGGCAAGTGTTAGGGTTGGTGGGGAGTGCTGAGCTGAGGTGAGGCTGCAATTCCAATGCCCTGGAAGCCTTAGGGCCCAGTCAGGGCTGCTCTTGTAGGCAAGGGTGTGGGGCAGGGCTGAGGGGAATAGGGGGTGAGGCTGAGGAGAGATGGGGGTGGGGTTGAGGGGAGGAGGAGGCAGTGCCCAGGGGGCTCACTGTGATGGTAGCAATGCCCAGGGGTACTCAGTGGCACGCATGCATGTGCAGAGGGGTCGAAGTGGCCTGCAAGAGGAGTGGAGGCAGAGAGAGAGAGAGCAGAGAGGAGTAAGTACATGCATGAGAGGAAGTGGCTTCAGTGGCTGGCTGAGGCCTCAATTGAAGTGAAGGTCCTGACTAGGAGCACAGAGCATGTGGAGCTAGCACAGGAGACACATCACTTCAAGCAGCCTCGCAGTGGCATGGTGGCCATGGACTGTCCCAAGTCCAAGGTTCCAATTATCATGGTGGTGGCAGTGGCCACAGAGGAGGAGGCCACTGAGGAGGAGGCAGCTGAAGAGGCTGCCTTGGCGGCAGCAGTGGCAGGGACAATGGCAGTATTGGCAGAAACAGGTCTGGCTGTGTATGAAGAGGGAGCTGAGTTGTCTGCAGCTGAGGGGGAGGAGAGGTCGCACTCGCCCTACCATGTGCCCTCAGACCCCGCGCCTCCCTCCCCAACCCTTCCCAAGGTGCTGCATTTCAAAAATGGTGCTGCCAGCCACAGGGAGCCTCTCTCAGTTGCCCGGCTGAGATAACGCGCCCCTGGCCTGCTTGTCTCAGTGACTCGGTCCAGGTCCCTGGTTCTCAGACTCCGGGCCTGCCACACCTGGAGCCTCTGCGCACAGCTTCTCCCAGCAGCAGACGTGAGCGGCCACCCTACGGACCCACACCCTGGGACACCATTGCCCAGCGAACCATTCGACCCCCCCTCACAGTCTCCCCCATTCTGTGGACCCAGACCCGTGCCTCCCGCCTCCCCTCTCCTGTCCCACCTATGCCTCCCCTGCATCCCACAGTATACCCTTGCTCTGCCGCACATGCACCCCAGGGGTAGGGGGTGGGGGTGCGTGGCAACCCGAGGATCCCTCTCATGTCCCCAGTGGCCAGTGTCCCAGGAAACAGGGGGGATGCAGGGTTGGGTGAGGAGGGGGCACCAGAGAGCTCCTGGCCTGGGGTAATGGAACCACACAGCCACCCATCTGCACCCTTCCTCACCTTGGTGGGAACCTGGTGGCTTCAGTCAGAGGTGGGGAGCAGCATCTCCAAACCTGCCTTCTCGGGTTTTCTCCTTTTTTCTGGGGATAGGGGTGTTGGATGCTGAAGATAGACCCCCTTGCTGTGTGAGCCCTTGTCCTCTATGCTTGGTCACCCTTTCACCTGAGGAGGGTCCCAGAAGAGCCCACTAGGGAGGTGAGGGCACTGGGCGACAGATATAAGATGAATATCTTGGAGGAACACCCCTCGCTCACACACACCCAGCCTATTCTTCCCACCCCAGCTGCCATCAGTTCTCACAGGGTGATCACATTTCCCAGCTCTGCCAGAATCTGCTGGTGCTCCTGATCCATCTGGTCTCCTCATCCTCCCCAGGACTGTGCCAAGTCGCCCAGAAGCATCTAGGCTGTAAGTAGGAAGTCCATCCATGTATGTAACACTTAGGACACCATCCATTTCCCCAACACCGTCTCCACCCCAGGTCAGACACCCCTCTGGGGGCACCATGAACCCCTGCTTGTTATCTGTCCTGGCTCTGAGGAGCCACCTGTCTCAGGACTCCTTTATCCAGCATCCTGGCCTAGGGTTATGGTTTATGTGGAGTTAAGGTTTGTTGTTCCCAAGAGGAAGATTCTGGCCCTGGAGAAAGGGAGAGGCAGGGTGGTTCTTTGTTATTAGAGTGGTGCTCCCCTTTGGTGGGATCCCCTGGTTCTGACAAGGGAACCCCATGCCCCAGCTTGTACATTGTCCCAGATGAGGAACTGACAAACTCAGGAGAGGCACTCTCTGAGTCTGTGTGTGTGTGTGTGTGTGTGTGTGTATGAGAGAGAAACAGAGAGAGAGAGAGAGAGGCAGGGAGGGAGAGAGATCATCTTTCACCTTGTACAGCGTGACTATGATCAGGTGAGCGATCAGTTGGTAAATTGCACGTGCTCCACCAGTCTTCTGTCACAGGTCTGCATTTGTGTGTGTGTGTGTGTGTGTGTGTGTGTGTGTGTGTGTGTGTTGAGAGAGCAGGGAGATGATAACAATGGAAATATATTTAAGTCACCATGTGTGTATGTGTATTGTTCTTTGGTCATCAATGCCAAGTATGATCCCAGCCTCAATTGAAGGTTTCAGTAGATGTTCCTTTCCACCTCTCTCTTCCTCTTTCCTGTAGTTCACAGTAGCTGCTGGGCCTGCGTGGGTCTCCCCTTGGAGGTCTGTGTGAATCGCAGACCAGAGTGGACACCTGTCCTTCTGTTTTCAGGCTGGTGAGGCAAGTGTGACCACAGCCACACTCATACAGCCAGACACCCTGTTCTGGTGTGTAGAGTTGGAGCTAATTCAAGGGTTGGGAATGTGTCCGCCAAACACAATTAGGGAATGAGATGGGGGAGTAGGGCAGAAGATGTGAAGCTAGGAGGGTCTGGTGGGTGGCAAATGGTGTGACATAGCAGATGGTTCACCACAAACATGGATGAGAGGGGAACCTTACCCAGGGCTTTGTCGGTGTCCATGGGCATCTGGGCAGGGGGCTCCAGGCCCCCCCTGGTGGCATGGATTCCCTCCTAGGGCACTGCACCGGTGGGCAGTGCTCCCTGGAGTCCAGTAGACTCCCATCTGTGTCCCGCCTGGGCCGCTTCCAGCTGGGCAGTGGTAGGCAAGTGCGTTCCCCCTGCTGAACCCTGCAAGGTGTCAGGCCATGGCAGTTAACTAGGACAGGCTCAATGTCAGTTTCTGTAACCTGCTGTAGGCTGTCTTGAAGGAAAAGGGGACCACTGACTTTGGAAACATTTAAGTTTGATAGGGACAACTGAAATGCCAGCTTTTCCAGGATTTTTTCTTTAAGCTGGCAATTACTCCTAATGACTGGGATTATGGGTCAAATTAGATGGACCATTTCAGCTGTCAAACAATGATGTTCAAAGCAGCACAGGCAGAGTTCCCAGGCCAGATCGTCTCCTGTCATGAACATCCTCTTTTGACTGCCTTCCTCCAGCAGCTGCTGATTCTCCTCTGGTTCTCTCTAGGGTGACCACCACAATCAAGGACATCATGAGGAGCAAAGATGGTGACCTCTCCATCCCCAGCCTGCCAGCTGTGAGCAGAGAATATTCCCAGCATTGCACTGGAATCTGGGAAATTCAGAGAACCAGGATGCTTCAAGGATCCTTTCTCTGCAAGATGAAACTTGGGGGCCGGATGTGGTGGACCATCCTGTCTGGCCCCAAGAGGAGGAGAGGAGGCCCCTTGAGCCAGGCTTTCACCTCAAGTGCCTCATTCACACCTGAGGGCCGAATTGAGTGCCAAACTGTGGGTTAGCGGCTGGACAAAGATTTTTGAGAAGAGAGGCATCGTAGAGCCCCAGAATCCAGCGAGTACATTTTGGCTCACATCCTCAGAGCCAAAAGAGTTAAGTGCGGTGGCACCAGGAGGGCAGGACAAGGGATGAGGGAGAACTGTGGAAGAGCTACTTCAGGCTTCGACACCTCCCCCACTAACCCCTCCACCCCCAGGATGCTTACCTGAGTTGGATGGGAGTTTTCTGTAATATTGTCGTAGAGAGATGCTCATTTATTTATCCAACAAACCGTTACAGTGAGTGCCAGGTCCAGGCGGTCATAGACGCTGAAAGGTTCCAGTGCTGGTTCCACAACACATGAAGAAATCTTGGTTTGAGCTGGATGCCGGTGCTTCACACCTGTCATCCTAGCTACTTAGGAGGCTGAGATGCGAGGACTGAGGCTTAAGTCCCAGGAAGAAAAGCCTGTAAAACTCTTATCTCCACAAACTACCAAAAAGAAAATGCCAGAAGTGGATGAGTGGCTCAAGCTGTAGACTGTTGGCCTTGAGTAAAAAGGCTCAGGGACAGCACCCAGGCTCTGAGTTCAAGGTCCAGGAGTGACACAAAGAAAGGAAAGAGAAAGAGGAGGGAAGGATGGAGGGAGAAAAGGAGGAAAGGAAGGAAAAATGGAACATGCAAGCCTTGGTTTGGAGTCCCTGGATCAAGGGAGCCAACCATTCACAATCTCTGTGGGGACAGTTTCAGAGCCTAAAGCCAATAAGTAGGACCAAGCCACTGACCCCTCAGCAACTTCATGACATCCAGGAGCTGTGTGGTCGCCGACTGCAGAGGGAAACAGCCTTGGGTAGACCCTAGGGCTCAGGGTGTGTCACCAGGCTCCCCTGGCCCACCGAGTTTATTTTCTAGTCAGATAAGAAGACATTGTCCAAAGGATAGCAAGGTATAGGCTGAGGGAGTGTCAAGAGTGGGGTGGCAAGGGATAAGCAAGAAGATGAAGAGGGAGTACAATCCCAGGTCAGGTGTGTCAGGCCATTGGAGCCATGACCTCACCTAACAACTTAGACCATTATTGATAGAGACTTTGGCCCAGCCACATGGCTGTTAAAAGTCCTGGCACTTTGGGTTCACCACTGACCAGCTGGCTGTCATCCACTGCTAGATGCCTTGGGGACTGGGACTTTTGCTGGCTCAATCTGAAGATGACACCCCCAGTGTTCATTTCTCAACCAGAGACAGAGGTAAGCCTGCCACTGGCACAGGACATCCAGAGAATGAGGGGGGAAATCAGACCCCTGTTGTCCCAAGACTTCCTCTAGGGGACTGTAGGGCCCCATGACTGCCATTCTCAGAGATAGAGGTGGGTCCCTTTGCTGGCTCAACTTTTAGTCTAGATGGCAGACCTGGGATTCAGAGAGGGCCGACTGAAGGTGGGGCAGGGCTGGGTGGAGGCTGGTGGGAAAACCAGAGGCACTGAGCTCTGAGCAAGGTTATTTCATCAGGGATACTGACAACCCAGGAACATTCCTGGGATGGATAGGCCTTTTCTCCTTCCCGAGAGAGGGACCTACAGCCCTCCAGTCTGCTTCCCTTGGCCAAGAAATCCTTCCAATCTCATATCTTGTGGCTGGATAACTAGACCTCAACTGACTGACCAGTGTCAAGGGATCTTAAGTCCTTGATGAGGTCACGGGATCCTCAGTATGAGATTGTACTTGAATGTTCTGTCTTGGTGCATGGTCAGTCCCATCTAAGACTGATATAATCTAGGACATAGAATCTAGAGAATCAGAGCAGGATGGGGTCTATTCTGTGAGTCTTGGGTATTATGTGTGTTTTGAGCTCCCATGTGCCCACCTGCTTCCCTTTCTTGGGTAGGTCTATGTTAGAAAAAGTTTATAACTAGGGCCTGGGTCCCATCCCTTGTGTTATGCTCAAAGCTAGCATTCTGCCATTTGAGCCACAGCTCCACTTCCAACTTTTTTGGGTGTTTAATTAGAGATAAACATTCTCATGGACTTTGCTGAGAAGGGTGCATCCAACTGCAGTCCTCAGATCTCAGTCTCCTGAGGGGATAGGATGACAGGCTTGGAAAAGTATCTTTGGCCAGGTGCCAGTGTCTCATGGCTATCACCCTAAGAACTCAAGAGCAGAAATCTGAGAATCACGGTTCAACTCAAGGCCAGCTTGGGCAGGAAAGACCCTCATTTCGGTTAGGGGGGCAGGGTGCAGAGGAAAGACCCCAGACCTGACACCTCCTGGGGGACATTGGTTCTTGTGACAGAGCCATGTCATTGCTGTGGATAAGAAGGAAGCTGCCATCAGACTGACCTGGAACAATGTTCAAAGATAGGTAGGCTGTTGAAGTATCAAACCCACTCATGTCTGCTTCCCACTCCCAACAAGGAGGTACAGTGTGGTGTGGGTGGCACAGCCCTGAGCCTAAGGAATTATAAATGGATGGTGGTGGTCAGGAGCTTGTAGCTCCCACCCATCATCTTGGCTATTCAGGAGTCTGAGGGCTGATGGCCGTGACTCAAAGCCAGCCCGGGGAGAAAAGTTCATGAGATTCTTATCTCTCATAAACCACCTCTCTCCCCCAAGCCCACACACAAAAAAGCCAGATGTGGTGGTGTAGCTCAAGTGGTAGAGCCTCAGCCTTTAACAAAAGAAGCTCAAGGATAACACCCAGGCCCTGAATTCAAGCCCTAGGGCTCACACAATCATAATAAAATAAATGAACAGTGACACCTTTTATCTGACTACCAAGAAAGATGGATTCAGTCTTCTAGCTGGCTGGTCCTTCTAGCCAAAGGTAAGGTGCTTCCATTGATGTTCTCCTAATCCTCTCCTTTTCTCCATTATCTGTCCAGGCTTCAGTTGCAGGACAGAATTCGGATCATCCCCCTGGTTATGACCTTAAGTACCCTTGCCTATCCACCTTCCTTGAGGTCAGGATTCTTTATGCACTCCCTGCTGGGAGGATGTGGCACCACAGAGATAAGGGTAGGTATCCCTGACACTTACACACACACACACACACACACACACACACACACACTCACACACACACACACACACACCCAAACCCTCCCACACACCACTAGGCCTACTCAGACTAGCCTTTTCCAAAGACATTTTATCTCTTTGGATTAACTGACCTAGGAGAGGATTTTGATCCCCAGTCACTGATTATTTTAACTTGGGCTTGCTAGTTGACTGGAAATAAACAGGAGCAAAAAAAGCATTTGGTGCCTGTCACCTGGTGCTCAGGCTCATCCCTGTCATACTGGAGGCTGAGATCTGAGGATCACTATTTGAACCCAGCCATAAGCTGAAAAGCTCATGAGACTCTACTCTCCATGGAACCACCAAAAAGCCAGAAGTGGAGCTGTGGCTCAAGAGGTAGAACACCAGCCTTGAGCAATAAAACTCAGAGAGTCTGCTCCCAGATCCTCAGTTCAAGCCCACAAAAAGAAATGGCCCTGTCTTATGACCACAGACTGCCTACCTGGGCTTTCAGTGCCCTCTCACGGAGTGTGATAAAACACCTGTCCCTGGGTGGTGTATCAGTGCCTTCAGAAATCCTGTAGTGGAACCCAGGCCTGCCACTTTGTGCACTCTCAACCCACACTGGCCAGAAGGCAGAGTGTGACAAAGCCGGCAGCCTGCATAGCGAAGAGTTGCCAGCTCTGCCAAGGTGATCGGAACAGGCTTCTTAGAGGCAGCACTTGAAAAGGGGGTCCTGCTTAAGAAGAATGATCTGACAGGAAACACAGAGATCAAAGGTGCTGCAGATGATGGAGAGCATAGCAGAGCATGTTCATTTCCAGCCAGGGCTGCAGGTGAGAGATTCGGTACAGTTGTGTGAGTCTTGGTATAGATGTGTGAGACTGTCTCAATACAGTTCTCCAAGGGACCTTAGTGAAATGTGGATGGCTATGCCCTGAAGCTCTTAGTAGATCTATCCATGCTTTGTGTCTCTTTCTTTGACAGAGGGGCGCTGGACACTCTTCTGCCCTAGGCACCCCTGGACCCAGTTATCAGCAACCCTCCCAATGTCTTCCACCGGGACATGGAGCAGCTGGCCCCAGAAATCCGCAGTTACCTATTGGGTGGTATGGGGGGATACAGGGCAGGCCCCAGAACTCCTACTGTGTCTGATCTTCCCTGGATGACCAGTCCATCCAGAGGAGGCAGATGGGAACTTAGAGAGGGCTAGTGATGTGAAGGGGGTCCTTTAAAGCCTATGGCCCTACCCAAATTCTTAGCCTCCCTTTACTGTCCCTGAGGGAGTTAGAGGAATGTCTAGGTGGTAGCGTCTAGAGGAGGACTAATGGAAATTCTGAAGGATGAGACACCATAAGCTGTGTGCCCGTGGCTCATGCCTGTCATCCCATGCCTATCATCCTGGCCACTCGGGAGGCTGAGATCCAGAGGATCTCATTTCCCAGCCCAGGCAGCAAAGTACCACGAGAGCCTCATCTCCAATCAAACTGGAAGTGGAGCTGTGGCTCAAGTGGTAGAGCACTGGCCTTGAGGAATAATAGACATCAGAGACAGTATCGAAGCCCAGAGTTCAAGCCCCTCAATCCAAAAGAAAGAAAGAAAGAAAGCCACCCCTTCTTTGGTTGTAAGAGATGGCGATGTAGTCGGGGTGCTGTGGTTGGGATAACAGGTGCTGGCCTCACCGTACAGACATTTCTAAGAACTCCCCAGGTTTGCCCCAGTGAGAAGCCACAGCACGGAGGGCAGTGCCTTACCAAGAACTCCAGAGGTCGTGGCCTGTGGCAGGCAGGAACTGGATGAATGGTAGCAGGTATAGGATGGTAGAGGCTGAGATTTGAGGATCTCAGTTCAAAGCCAGGTTGGGCAGGAAAATCTGTAAGACTTTATCTTCAGTGAACTACCAGAAAGCCAGAAGTGGCATTGTGGCTCCAGTGGTAGAGCACTCACCTTTAGCTGAGGAGCTGAGGGACTGCGAACAGCCCCAGAGTAAAACCCCATGACCGACAACCAAAAATAAGGTAGCTGAGATTTCTGCATAGTGGTATGTATATTTAGGAAATGCCAAGCTATGTTATAAGCCATTCCAGACGTGTGAGAGGCGCTGAGTTTTGTCTACAGTTGGTCTGGGGATAGTAATGCCTTCTTCTTGAGGGTGGGATGGTCAGGGTGCTCAGGGTCTGCTGAGGCCTTGGGCTACCTGTGTGTGTGTGTGTGTGTGTGTGTGTGTGTGTCTGTGTGTCTGTGTGTCTGTGTGTTTGTGTGTGTGTTTGGAGGTAGAAGAACTGGGCCTTGAACTCAGGGCCTAGGTGCTGTTCCTGAGTTATTGTGCTCAAAGCTAGTGCTCCGACACTTGAACCACAGCTTCACCTCTGGCTATTTGGTGGTTCACTGTAGCCTCACAGACTTTCCTGCATGGGCAGGCTTTGAACCGTGATCCTCAGATGTCAGCCTCCTGAGTAGCTAAGATGACAGACATGAGCCACCCATGCCGGATTTGTGTGTATGTGTGTGTTTGTGTGTGTGTGTGTGTGTGTGTGTGTAGAAGTGGGTTGTAACACGGAGCGCTGGACCCTTTGGTAACTTATAACTGCTGTCTTTGGGGGATGCATGGGCTTTGTTGCCGAAGTTTAGGGCAAGGAAGGGTGGAACACTTGAAGGGGACTCAGCACCATTAAATTATAAGACCAAAGGATCTGTGTGCCCTGGAGATGTCTACTCCCTTAGCCCTGGTTGGTGGCAGAGAGAGCTTAGGAGGACTTGGGGGTGGGGCCCACAGGGGGTGACTCCAAGGGGGACAGACAGCATAGCCAGCTCTTAGTAAGGATGTGAGCCCTGTTAGTATTGAGTGCACTGGTATGGTCAGAGTCTGTGTCTTCTCATAATGTCTCATGGGTGAGGCCAACCCTATTTTAAATCTTGACCTGTGATCTTCAGATTTCAGTGTCCTGAGTAGCTAGAATTACATGCATGAGCCTCTGATTCTTTTTGGTATGTTAGGGTTTGTACTCAAGGCCTTAGGCTTGCCAGTCAGGTCTTCTACCATGTGAGCTAAGCCTTTCTGTCTTGGGCATTTCCGAGATAGATAATATATGCTCAGGCTGGGCTGGATCGCAGCCCTCCTATTTGTGACAGGCATGCGTCAGTAAGCCTGGTCCTTTTTAGTTGGAATGCTAAACATGTAGTGCCATGCTCAGTCATTGGTTTAGATGGATTGTCCCAAACGCTTAGTCCGTGGCAGCCAATTCTTGACCTAAGGTGAAGCTCTGGGTTGGGCCTCGACCATTGGTCCTCAGTCTCCTCCCGAGACAGTTGTGAGGAAACAAGGATTCAATACTGGGGGATCTCTGGGGCAGATCCAGGCCTTGAGGGAGAGGCTGTCAGATATGGTTCTTGGCAATTCTGTGAGCATATGACAGGAAGATACTCAGAAAGCGCTCAGATGGGGCCTGTTATTTATCATGCAACAGGTACAGGATTATGAATCCAAACACAGCTCTCTTTCATCCTTACCCTATCCCCATGAGGAAGGGGATCCTTCACTGTGCTCAGTTTTGCAGTTGGGGAAAACAAGGCATTGAGACACTAGGTGACCTACTATGACCCCCAGCTGACAGCAAGCTTGGCCTGACTTTTCTGCCATGTTCTCTAGGACAGTGGGTGTTATTCAGTCCACTTCTTATGGTGGCCAGTCCACTTCTTGTCAGTTGTGAGGCTTGAACTCTGGACCTGGGCACTGTCCCTGAGCCCCTCAGATCAAGGCTAGCACTTTACCACTTGAGCCACAGCATCACATCCAATTTTCTGGTGGTTCTTTGGAGATAAGAGTCTCACAGATGTTCTTGCCTGGGCTGGCTATGAACCATGATCCTCATATCTCAGCCTCCTGTGTAGTTAACATTAGAGTCCTGTGCCACCGACCCCCAGCTAAAGTGTAATTCGGATTTTCTTTCTTTCTTTCTTTCTTTCTTTCTTTCTTTCTTTCTTTCTTTCTTTCTTTCTTTCTTTCTTTCTTTCTTTTTCTCTCTCTCCCTCTCTCACATTCTCTGTCTCTCTCTGTCTCTGTCTCTCTCCCTACCTATCTCTCTCACACAGGAACTGGTTGAATGGGTGCTGGAGGAGGTGGCCCAGGGTCCCCATGTGGCTGGGACTCAAGGTGGCCCTCCCATTCTGGAGGTGGGCTGTGGGTCAGGAGCTGTCTCACTCAGCCTATTGAACAAGCTCCCTGAAGTAAACCCTTCTGTGTCCAGGTTAGACTGTGTCGGATATTTATCATCCGTCCCTCCCATGAGTCCTTCCCCACTACCCTCTGCTAAGACAGTTAAAGGAAAGTGGATAAGGAGGCATCACATTGTCCTCCCACCCAGCATGATCCCGGGCCTCTGATCCTCACCACCACTTATCTCGCCAGACCCTGGTTATAAGAAAATGAATCCACTCTATGTCTACTTCGCTTTGCTGGAGTGTGTTGTTTCAGGGTGGAGGGGCAGTATGCAGAGGAAAGACCCTAGGCATGACACATCTTGGGGGACATTTGTTCTTGTGACAGAGCCAAGTCATTGCTGTCAATAAGGAGGAAGCTGCCATCAGATTGACCCAGAACAATGCTCACAGGTAGGTAGGCTGTTGAAGTATAAGACCCACCCATGTTGGTTTCCCACTTACCACAAGGGGGGTGCAGTGTGGGTGGCCCAGAACTGGCCCTAGGGGATTATAAAAGGATGGTGGCAGTCACGTGCTGGTGGCTCAGGAGGCTGAGGTCTGATGGTTGTTACTCAGAACCAGCCCATGCAGGAGAGTCTGTGAGATTCTCATCTCCCATAAACAACCTTCCCCCATACACAAAAAAGCTAGATGTGGTGCTGTGGCTCAAGTGGTAGAAATTCAGCCTTGAGAAAAAGAAGCTCAGGGATGACACCCAGGCCCTGAATCCAAGACCTAGGACTCACAAAAAAATAATAAAATAAATGAATAGTGGGCACCTGTTATTTTACTACCAAAAAGGATGGATTCAGTCTTCTCTCTGGTACTTGTAGCCAAAGATGAGGGGCTTCCTTTGATGTTCCTCTAAATGTCTCCTTCTCTCCATTATCTCTCCAGGCTTCAGTTTCAGGATAGAATTCAGATCATTGTACTCGATGTGACCTTACATACCCTCCCTACCCACCTTCCTTGGGGTGGGGATCCAGGATGTACTCACCACTGGGAGGATGAGGCACCACAGAGATGGGGGTTAGTGTCCCTGAAACTCATACTCTCTCTCTCTCTCTCTCTCTCTGTCTCTCTCTCTCTCTCTCTCTCTCTCTCTCACACACACACACACTCACCTATGCCAATTCAATTCAAAGTAGCCTTTTCCAAAGACAGTTCATCTCCATGGATTAACTGATCTAGGAGACAAACTTGAACCCTTGAAACTGAGTATTTTAACTGGGTCTTGATAGTTGACACGAGATAAACAGAAGCTAAAAAGAAAGGCTCTGGTGCCCATTACTTCTGGCTCAGGCTCAAGCCTGACATCCTGGCGACTTGGGAGGCAGAGATCTGAGGATCAAAGATCAAAGCCAGTTATAAGCTGGAAAGCCAGAGAGACTCTTCTCTTCATGGAAGCACCAAGAAGCCAAAAGTGGAGCTGTGACTCAAGTGGTAGAGCAGCAGCCTTGAGCAAGATAACTCAGAAAGAGAGCTCCCAGATCCTGAGTTCAAGCCCACACAAAAAATGGCCTCATCTTGTTGCCCCTATTGCCTGGGCCTCGAGTGCCCTCTCATGGAGTGTGGTACAGCACTGGTCCCAGGATAGTGTATGAGAGCCTTCAAAAAGTGGGTGGTAGAAGCCAGGCCTTCTTCATGTGCTCTCAATCCACACCGGCCAGAAGGCAGAGCGTGACAAGGCCGGCAGCCTGCAGAGTGAAGATCCCTCTCTGCCAGGGCAATTGGAGTGGGATTCTTAGAAGCAGGACTTGAAAGGGGATCTTACTTAACAAGGAGGATCAGACAGGAAGCACAGACAACATAGCTGAGCATGATCATTTCCAGCCATGGCTGCTGCTGAGAAACTTGGTACAGATGTGCAAGACTGTCCCAAGACAGGCCCAAGGGGTCACAGAAAAACAGCTATCCAAGGATGAGATTGTGTCTTAGCAGTATTGGGCTCCATAGCACACAGGAAACCCTTGATTCAATTCCTAGGTCTCACATACACAGAAAAAAGTCAGAAGTGGCACCTTGGCTCAGGTGGAAGAGCACTTGCCTCCAGCAAAAGAAGCTCTAAAACAGCGCTCAGGCCCCGTGGTCAAGCCCCAGGACTGTCAACATAAAACAGCACTCAAAGGGACCTTGGTGATGTGGATGGATATGCTCTGTAGTTCGTAATAGATCCATCCATGCTTTGTGTCTTCTTCTTCGACAGAGGGGAAGTGGACACTCCTTCTGCCCTGAAGACCTGGACCCGGTTATCAGCAAAACTCCCAACATCTTCCACCAGGACATGAAGCAGCTGGCTCCAGAAATACTCAGGTACCTGTTGGGTGGGGCAGGGGCATACAGGCAGGCCCCAGAAGTCCTAGAGGGTCTGATATGCTCCGGATGACCAGACCATCCACAGGAGGCAGATGGGAGCTTAGAGAGGGTTAGAGATCTGGAGGGGACCCTTTAATGCCCATGGCCCTACCCAGATTCCAAGCTCCATTTGCTGTCCCTGAGGGCGGTAGAGGAGTATCTAGGTGGTAGTGTCTAGAGGAGGTCTAGGAGGAAATTCTAAAGAATGAGATACCATAAGCCCTGGCCTGGTGTTTCACACCTGTCATCCTGGCTACTTGGGAGGCTGAGATCCAGAGGATCCCGTTTCCCAGCCCAGGCAAGAAAGTTCCATGAGAGTCTCATCTCCAATCTCCAACTGGAAGTGGTTCCTTGGCTCAAATGATAGAGCACTGGCCTTGAGCAAAAATAATCATTGGAGACAGTATACAAGCCCTGAGTTCAAGCCCCTCAACCAAAAACAACCGGAAAGACACCCCTTGCCTACAAGAGATGGTGAAGGAGTGGGGGTGCTGTGGTTGGGAGACCAGGTGCTGGCCTCAATGTACAGAAATTTCTATGATCTCCCCAGGTTGGCCTGAGTGTGAAATCACAGCAGGTGCGCATTGCCTTACCAAGAACTCCAGAGGTTGTGGCCTGTCTTAGGCAGGGAGTGGGGTGAATGTGAGCAGGGGTGGGAGGGTAGTGTCAATTTTATTCTCACCTTCCATGGAAGTATGGTTTTGGAAGCTGGTGTCAAAGTCTGAAGCGAAGGATTGCATGTAATTTGTAGCCTGACAAGTTGGGTTTCCCCTGGGTATAAGAAGGTAACTGAAGCTGGGTGCTGCCAGTGGCTCACAACTATAATCCTAGCTACTCAGGAGACTGAGATCTGTGAAGGCCCAAAGTTCAATCCCCATGACCAACAACCAAAAATAAGGTAGCTGAATTTTCTGCATAGCAGTGTGTACAGTAGGAAATGCCATGCTGTGTTATGAGCCATTCCAGATGTGTGAGAGGCTCTGAGTTTTGTCTACAGTTGGTCTGAGGACGCTAGTGCTATCTTCTCAGGGGTTGGGATGTTCAGGTGCTCAGGGACTGCTGAGGCCTTGGGCTACCCCTGTGTGTGTGTGTGTGTGTGTGTGTGTGTGTGTGCGTGCGTGTGTGTGTGCGTGTGTGTGTGTGTGTGTGTATTTTCCCCTCATCTTTCTCTGTCCCCTTCTTGGGCGCCTGTCTGCCTCTTCCTGACTTCAGAGGGAGCACCTCCTCCATGGCACCCTGCCTTTATCCCCCTATCTGGGTCTACCATGAGTCCTAAATTGCCAGAGACCTGTACATTATAGCTTTTTGTTGGTGCCCAAGTCTGGCTGTCCATAACTTTGGCCGCCTCCAGAGGATTCTGGGTCAGCAAGGCCAGCTGAAGAGGAGGGGCTCAGTCATGCCATGTCCTGTCCTTTTCCTCAGCTGGGCCTCTGGATGCATGTCCATCCTAGCAGGCTGGCAATGGAGTAGGAGAAGGGTGGTTGCCAATGGCTCTGGACAACTTCAGCCTGATAGCTGACTGAAGGCCACCCAAACAAGGAGGATCTGGGGCTACATGGAAAGTGAGCCAAGTTGTTTTGGAAGTATCCATTGGTGTCTAGGAAATGTAAACATACATTATCACAGGAAAGTCTATTTCCCCCCCGCCCAGCTGGACCTCTCAGGTCCTTCTACACAATTCCGGATAACCATAAAACAGAGGCACAGACTAGATTCCAGAGTCAGGGTAGAGGGGGTGAGAGACTGGTATGGCCAGTACCTCAATGTTCTGGGGCATTAGCCTTGACCTGGTTATGTCCCCCTTGTGTAAGTTCAATTCTTAACCCAGTGCTAGCCACAAACTGGCTACTTGTGGCAGTGTTGTGGAAGTGGCAGGAATGGAAGTGAGATCTAGGATGACCAAAATCTGGATTTATGGCTTGCGGGGTTGGTGATGGCAAAGGGTATTTATTTTAAAAAAAATCTCAGAGGGCTGGGAAGGTGGCTCAGTGGTAGAGTGCTTGCCTTGCATCCCTGAGGTCCTGGGTTTGATTCCTCAGCACCACATAAGCAAAAAGGAAAAAGCCGGAAGTGGCACTGTGTCTCAAGTGGTAGAGTGCTAGCCTTGAGCTGAAGAGCTGAGGGACAGTGCCCAGACCCAGAGTTCAGGCCCCATGACCGGACCCCACAAAAAAAATCTCAGAGCTGGAATTCAGTGCCTAGGCACTGTCCCTGAGCTAACAATCTACCACTTGAATCATAGCTCACCTGTCATCTTTTTTAGTAGTTTAGTGGAGAGAAGAGTCTCATGGACTTTCTTGCCTGGGCTGGCTTCAAGCTGCCATCCTAAGAGCTCAGCCTATTGAGTATTGGATAGCTGGTATGAGACATTGGCACCTTCTAAAGACGTTAATATGTGTGTGTTTGTGTGTGTGTGTGTGTGTGTGTGTTTACCGGGGCCTGAACTCAGAGTCTAGGTGCTATCCTTTAGCTTGTTTGCACAAGGTTGGTGCTGTACCATGTGAACTAGGGTAGCTTGGCTTCCCAGCTTTTTGATGATTCATTGGAGATAAGAGTCTACCCAGGCTAGATTTGAATCTTGATTGATCCTTGAGTAGCTAGGATTATAGGCATGAGCCACTGGCACCCAGCTGCAAGGATGTCTTTTCCTATGCTCTTCTGTTCTAACAGCTGTCTACTTGCCCTGGCCTAGATCTCTGACCTCTACATCAGCTCCTAGCAGCCCCAGACTGTGTGGAGAACATAAAGTTCAAACCTGATCCCATTTCTTTGTCCTCAGGGGAGGGTATGTTTTGTCTGAAGCCTGGGTTGGAGGGGTAGCTGTACATGTGTGCCCGGCTGGGACAGAGAGGAACTTTGTTTTATCCAAGAAGGAAAGTCTGGCCAGTTAGATACTAATAGCTCATTCTCTCATATTCCTATCTCCTCAGAGGCTGAGATCTGAGGATTGCCATTCAGTGGCAGCCCAGCTAGAAAAGTCTGTGAGAATCTCTTCTGCTCAAGTGGTAGTGCTAGCCCTCAATGAAAAAACTCAGGGACAGAGCCTGGGACCTGAGTTCAAACCCCTGTACCAATATGTGCATGCACACATGCATGTACACACACACACACACACACACAGAGACAGGTGTTAATGATGAGCTGAGGTAGAACTGTGGGCAGTCCTGAGGCATAACCATAGTAAACTCTCAATGCAGATCAAGTTGTTTCTCCCTAAGTCCTTCTTGTGCTGAGGGGTCTGGGTCATGGCAGTAAGTTCCATGGAACCTGCCCATCCATTCATGCATGGGGCCACAGGACCAAGGGAAGGACACTATGGATGCTCCTTTGTAGTTGGCCCATGATTGCAGACCTTCATCTGCCCCCGAGCACTGGTGAGGAAAGCAGGGCTCCAAGCCCTGGGACTCCAGGGGTAGTGAGTGCTACAAACAGCAGCCAGCAACCTGTGGATTCCTGAGCCTACAAGCCTTTCATGAGCCCAACTCAACACCCGTCAAAGGTGTGCCTGACAGATTCGCACTTTTGTGATACTTGCGTGAGTGGGCATTACCTGCTGTGCCATCTTGCAGCTCCTGCCCCTCCTGGCCCAGAACTCTGGTATGAGATGTCGATTTACTGCTCAGATCCATACTGCACCCATGGCAGATGCCATTCTGATGACTCGACCAAAGACCTCCATGCCCCAAGGCTTGACCCATTGATACTGTGGCCTACTCTGCAGCCAAAGAGGCTGCTCTGAAGACTGGTGGGACACCTAGACATTGGGAGACCTTCAGGGGCCCACTGGAAAGCACTCTGCCACAGAGTGAGGTCCAAGCAGGCCAGGTGTTGGTCATGGTGCTTGAACTCGGCCTGGGCACTGTCCCCCAGCTCTTCAGCTTACCAATTGAGCCACAGCACCACTTCCAGTTTTCTGGAGGTTCCTTGGAGATCAGAGTCTCCCAGACTTTCTGGCCTGGGCTGGCTTCAAACCGCAATCCTCAGATCTCAGCCTCCTGAGGAGCTAGGAGGACAGGTGTGAGCCACCTGTGCCGGGCTGATCTGGAGTTTCACTACAGTGGACTAGGAGCTCCTGAAAGCTTTTCTTTATTTTTTTAGGTGGCAGTACTGGGGCTTGAATTGAGGGGTCTGGGCTTTGGTCTCTTAACTTTTTCCCTCAACTTTCCTCCCTCTGATCTTAGTCTCCTGAGTAGCTAGGATTTGCAGGGGTTGAGCCACTGGTGGTATTAGGCTAAAAGCTTTTCTTTTTTGGGGGAGGAGGTCAAGTCGTGGGGCCGGAACTCTGGGCCTGGGCACTGTCCCTCAGCTCTTCAGCTCAAGGCTAGTGCTCTACCACTTGAGCCACAGCGACACTCCCGGCTTTTTCTTTTTTGCTTATGTGGTGCTGAGGAATCGAACCCAGAGCTTCAGGCATGCAAAGCAAGCGCTCTACCACCGAGCCTCCTTCTCATCCCCTAGAAGCTTTTCTTAAGCAAGCGTTCTTCCCCTCATTTGCCCTGACTCCTCCATGCAAAGGAGGCCTGAGGGTCAGGAGCTATAAAAAATAGCCTTCCAGCCACAGGAAATGGCTGGGGTCCATGGTGAAAAGACAAGCTAATCTTCCCCCTGGGCCCCATTCTGGGACCCCAACCTCTGCCCTACCTGTGACTCAAGTACAAACCTTGACACAGCCTTGAATGTCCTGCCAAACTTGTCTGAAGCCACCAAACCTTCATTCCACCCACACCACCTGCTCTAAACCACACCTCAAGACCGTTGCCCATTCTGGACCTTCTGCCTGAGGCTCTCTGTCCTCTTTCACATCTTAGAACACCTGTGGAATTTTGGCACTGGTTATATCACCTCATGGAGCAAGTCTTTCCTTCCAATCTCCCCCTTTTCTTTTTTTAGTATTAAGGTTCTAGAGATGGAACTTGTGCAGGCTGACTGGCAAATGCTCTATCTTGATGTAAATGCTC